TGTGAAATTCATTGCCAAGGGATGTTGTGAAGAGCAAAAGTATAACTGGGTTCAAAAAAGAATTAGATAAATTCACGGAGGACAGCTCCATCAGTGGCTATTAGTCAAGATGGTCAGAGACTCAATCCCCAGGCTCCAGGTATCCTAAACCTCTAGTGCTAGAAGCTGGGACTGTACAACACTTGAAATTGCCCAGTAATGTTCATTCCTTCTGAAGCATCTGGCACTGGTCACTTTCAGAAGACAAGATACTCCCATTGTCCGATCATCTCTCTTTAACCACATGGAAGATTTCCCTAATGTCTAATGTAAATTTCTCTATTTTTATTCAATTAAGGTCTCAGAACCCATTAGTGGATGATGGACTACCTGAAGTCCATGTTGGATTCTTGGTAAGAAGATAAGAAAAGTTTTACATTGTACCACACTGTACAGAGTGAGAGAGTGTGCATGTGTGTGGGGCGGGGGGGAAGTGACAGGGGAAAAGGTCAGAGTTGGAGCCACATAGTGTAGCCAAAAAGCCTCAGAATACCATGTAGGCCACTGACAGCTTCACACATAATCCTGCAGGCAGCTCTGCTTAGTGTATAGTGTCGCATGTCTTCTTCTGAACCCCCTAACAGTTGAGTGGTTAAATGTCTGGGTTCCTCTCAGAGATCCCTTCCTAAAATAATATTTTTAGGTGCCTCAAAAATTCATTAAACCACCTTTTTAAATCAGGTTTCCTGCTCAATGCTGGAGTCAGCAATCCTTTAGCTCCTCTACTGTTCACAGCATTCCTTAAACCCACAGTTCATAAATTGCTTTGGTTATTGGTAAAATACTCATATTAGGAACTCATTGGGATATTGTCTGTCATTTTACACAGAGGAACAGAATAATAAACATACTGTGTATTCCAACCCTAAATCTATAGACTCCTCCCAGTGCCCTACCCATTCCTAACATATTGTTGTTTCCATTTCATTTAGGATGAAGGCTCCATCAAGGACCAGACCACATGTCCACACCCAATTTTCAGATACTTTTTGGCCCCTCACGTACTTTTTCTTGCCAAATGAAGTCTCTTAACCTTTCAAAAAGTCAGATCCAGCCTCAGTCATCAGGTAATTCTGGCAATGAGCATACTCCTTGCCCTAAGTTAGAGTACTTTGGGGGCTGCAGAGATTCAGGTACATGTATGGAACAGGACCCCCATCTTTCTGAAAATGTGGATGCAGCACTGTTCAAAAAACTCTTCCTTAGTCAGGGGTGTGTGTCCTGCCTGGACCCCAGCAAAGTCTGGGAATACCCACATCTGGAGCTTGGGACCCATTTTTCTAGTTTATGATGCTCAAAAGAGTGAGAAAAGAAGGGAATTAGGAACAGAAAATGCAGCAGTTTACACATGTTTAGTGTGATCTCAACTTTGCTCTCTGTATTTCACTGGGACTGTAGGGTAGGCAGGGGGTGAGGAACAGCTCTACTAAGAGGACAACGTACTTACAAAGGTATTTCTACAGTGCATTTGGGGAAGGGGCAACTGAGAGCTCCTCCAAAGATCTCAATCACTTATAAATAGATTATTCCCTAAAATCCTTTGCCCGTGAGTAATGTAACGCTCCATCCCTGATTCAATGGAGTTTATTTTCTCCTTTGGTAGTGACCAAGACCAAGAAGAATGGCTGATGAAATAAAGCACATGGTGGGAGAGCTGATGGCCATATAGGGATTAGGGAGTCATGGGGCTCACTGCTTTTCCTCTCTCTTGCCCATTTAGTTGATATGAGAATTTAGGAGTCTGCAGGAGCCCAGTTCCCCAAATTGATTTGAAATTTCTGTTGATGAAACAATAGAGATTTTATTGGACGATGGAAGAAAGTTACATTAACATTGATTTTACCAGGTGGTGGGATCATTCAGTGTTATTAATGTAAATTATGGTATATGAGGAGGCAGGAGATACAGGAGAGAATTCCTTTCCTGATACTCATATTTCCTTTCCATTCATGTTATTTTAGGATGAATACTTCAGCATGGCTTCATTTAATCAGCAACTCTCCCTTACCTGCCCCTGTACTCCCCGAGACTCAGTTCTTTGGGCTTTATGAAAGGTTCCTCAAACAGACTGGACCCTCTACCCCTGAGTGAGTATTGGGATTTCTTCACTTCTTTATCTGGATGCATATTGGGGAGGGTGCATGTCCAAGTTTGTGCAGGGCTTTGGGTGTAGACAATATGGTTACCACATTTCTAAAAAGATAAACACATAACAACATATTCTCTGCAGTCATTGTAAGGAAGAACTACATTCTCTCTCACGCTAGGCATTTTCTGACCAATACCCAGCTCCAACCATTCCTCCTCATGTTAACATTCTCTTGCAATGCAAATACATCTTTCCCGCAATCCTGACTTCACCCTGCTACTATCTAGTTAGTGACTGTTATATTCTCCCCATCACTGCACTTCAGTGGAAGGGGAAAGTCTTAACATATTTGCAGAGTGATTCAAAGACCCAGGGTATGTCTACACTACCTGTTGGATCGGCAGGCAGCAATCGATCCAGCGGGGGTCAATTTATCACGTCTAGTCTAGACGCAATAAATCGCCCCTTAGCGCTCTCCCATTGACTCCCGTACTCCGCCACCGCGACAAGCGCAGGCAGAGTCAACAGTGGAGCGGCAACAGCCGACTCACCGCAGTGAAGACAAAACTTGGTCATAGCTTCTCATTTTAGCATCTCCTTCAAAAGTCAATAATCCTTTACCCCTGGGGGAATTCTGCACCAAAAAATCAAAATTCTGCATCCTTTATTTGTCAAAATAATGCAATATAATCACACCAGATTCAACTGTTTTGGTAATTTACTTAAACTACAATACAGAAAAATCACAATAACTATTCAGCATTTCCTAAGCACATGAAAGTTAAGTTACAAACACTTGGTAACTAATACCCTTTCATTTAAATTACATTACAGAACACCAAACAGCAAAAAGTAGAATGTCATTTTAAATTGTTCAGACTTTCACACATAAAAAAGTGATACAGCTTTGGTAATCATTGTCCTGGACCTGGTTGGGTACTTTGGGAAGTGCTTGGTTCTGATTGTCCTGACGTTTTATTGACTCTTTGGTAAATGTTTTATTTACCCTCAAAGTCTTTTTTTAATGGGTAAGTAAAATAAATCCTGAGCTGTATGCTAACCCCATTGTGCCACTTTGGCACAGAAATAAAGTGAGAAAGCACATAGATCTTCCTAGCTGAGGATTCCCTTACTGTCATTTATAATAAGGCTCCTTTACATCACTCTGGCAATGTAGGGGCCTTAAAACTTTTACAGGTTTTATGCTCCTGGGGAAATTGACTGAGAATGGGAACAGTTAACTAACAATAGCAACATTAACTTTAACAGTCAGACTGCTACATTTCTGCTTCAGAGAATAAGATCAATTAACCATCAACAGCAACTTTAACGATGTTACTAACTACATAGTCAGGCTGCTAATGCCTCAGAGAATGAATCAATTAACTCAGGCAGGGCTACTACATTTGTGCCTCTAGACTGCCTCATGCATAATAAAAAGCCTTACCCTTCCACACCAGAGAGCTATGGTAGCAAGGGAGAGGGACAGAATCTCTTTCTCGATTGTTCACCCACTTACCACTAGCCCCACCCCCCACCGGTGATCATGCAGGCATGCATGGCCTGCCCCCTGATCCCATCTCTGAGGTTGCTCCATGCATGCTGGAACAGACACGCTGCTGGGGAAGAGGCCGTGTCCCCCGGTAGATTTTATTTGCATTTTTCTGTGCAAGGGCACAGAAAAATGCAGGACTATATGAATTCCCCCAGCAGTAAATCCTTTCCCCCTCCCTATCTTTACCCTGTATCATGCTATCTTGTTCCTTCTCTGTTATGTGAGTGAAGGCCTTGTTTCCTTTATCACAGATTCAGTTATCTGCAATATTAAATTAATTTTACTGTTAAGGCCTGGAGTCACTAGTTCTCCTGCCCTTGCCTAGTTTCTCCCTCCTGTCAAACACAATCATTAGCAGCTACTCTGATTATTCATGCTTATGAGATTGGGACGGGATCTAGTTTCCCACAGTTCCTTGGCATTGTCTCCTGCAACCTTCCCCAGAACAATACAGATTAGCTAGACATGCAAATCAGTGGGGTTCACTCTACTAAACACTTTGGGATATACTGGAGTCTACTGTTCTCTACCCACAGTTCTGTGCTTGCTTCTTCTGATCCACTGTAGGGAAGGCGGCTCTGTATTTTATCCCTTTGAAGAGTCATGTAGATCCAGCTGGCTGGTGAAGTTGAGGGTATATTAACATGGACAATAAAAGCATACGGGAGAGATAAAATGGGGATTTGGTCCAACCCCTCAGACAGAGACCAACACCTACAAGATCTTCACCAAGCAGTCTCAAAACTACGATACCCGCACGAGGAAATAAAGAAACAAATCAACAGAGCCAGACGTGTACCCAGAAGCCTCCTGCTGCAAGACAAGCCCAAGAAAGAAGCCAACAGAACTCCACTGGCCATCACCGACAGTCCTCTGCCACTTTGGACCCTGTTGCCCAAGGCTTACCCTGCTGCCTGCATGCTGTGGCTGCCGCATCGCGCCTAGTCGAAATGTCCGAATCCCTTGTCCTCCGCTCTCCTCTGACCCTCATGGTACCTCACTCTGTGGAAACCCTCCTGCTACAATGTAACACAGGCCACCTGTCCTCCGCCCGCCTTACCAGGTATGAACTTTTACTGCTGTCGGCTTCGTATATCACCATAAAGCGTTGTTCTCAGTTAAACCCTGCCACTCTCCTTCCTTTGTCTGATGATGGTGATCCCCACGACTGCCTTGCAACTGTCTCTGCTGTTACCATCCTGCACTCTGACCTTTCTGATGTCCCTCTCCCTAACTCTGACCTTGTTTTGTTTACTGATGGTTCCTGTTTTCGAGACAACCAAGGTCGTCTCCTTGCAGGATACGCTGTAGTGTCGCTCTCTGAAACTCTAGAAGCTGCGCCTTTTCCTTCTGTAACCTCAGCGCAAGTTGCCGAATTAGTTGCCCTCACCCGTGCCTGCTTTTTGGCAGAGCGATGCTCCGCCACCATTTACACTGACTCCCGCTATGCTTTGGGGTTCTACATGACTTTGGCACCCTCTGGCAAGCTCGGGGTTTCCTTACCTCCGCCGGTACCCCTATCAAAAATGGCCCCTACATCGCTGCTCTCCTGTATGCAGTTTTACTTCTGTCTGCCCTAGCTATTGTTAAGTGCCCAGGCCACTCGATGGCAGATACTGATGTTGCTAAGGGTAACACATTTGCTGACGCCTCTGCTAAACATGCTGCTGCCATAGAACCTTCCCCAGATGCATTCCTAGGTTCCCTTTCTGTTTCTATACCACCGCCATTCCTCACTAACCTCACCCTGCTCCAAGACTCTGCCCCAGAAGCCAAGAAGGACTCCTGGGTTGCCCAGGGTTGCTCTCTACATCCTGATTCCCTTTGCCGTTCGCCGGCCGGCGCCTTTGTGGCCCCCTTTTCACTCTA